CGGCGCGGACCCGGCTACGAGCGGGGCTGGGGGAGGTCAGGTCTCTTCCTCCCTCTGCTCTCCGAGAGCTTTAAAGGGGCTGGAAAGGCGTCGCCGAGGATGACGTCCCTTACTCCACCAGCATCTGCTGACTCCCCTCCCTCCCAACTTCAGGCGACGAACGAGCAGGCAGTTACTGCCTCCGGCCACCACAGACCACTGCACGTCTTAGTCAATTAATTGGAAACCGGCGGCAGTGCCCCCCAGCAGAGACTTTTACAGCCCAGGCGAGCGCTAAGCCAGCGCTCCCAAGAGCCGGATGTCCTCTTGGACCCTCCGTCTAAACGCTTCTGCGCACCCCCCCCTTCCTCCCTGCACCCTTCTCCCTCCGATGCACCCCCAGGTTTCATTGTGTATGATCAGGAAGGAAGAAAAATCTGTGCACAATGATTAGCCCTGATATTTTAATGGAAATACTGCACTACAGTCAAGTTTACAACATTTGTATAGAAATCACATGGATAGTGGGCCAAGGATCACATTACAGAATACAAAAAGCAAGTTCAAATAAAAAGAAAAAAAAAATCTTTGCTATTGTACAGGCTGGGATCAGAGCTTGGAGCTCAGATGTCAGACACGGGGAGGGAGGAAAGCCGCTTGTGAAAACCCTGCTGCGAAAGGGAGAGGTCTCCGCGTGGTTTATTGGTTGGTTTTTCCTGGGCACCGTAGACAGCAGGCATCCACGGGAGCCCCCCTCCGCTCAGAGGACATGCAGGCACAGACTCGGGACAAGACACCCACAAAGCAGCAGCAGCAGCTGTTACTTCCAAGCTGGTAAAAAGTCTAAACCACCCAGACTTCCGCTTCCAGATCACCTTGAGCATACACAGGAAAAACGGGGAGGGGGGGAGGACCAAGACCAGCGGCTGAGGGAGGTAGGGCGAGGAGCAGGGCAGCGCGGGCGAAACCTTTGCAACGGAAGAGGACACGCAAGAACCCCTTCCTGTCCGGTTACAGCAAAAGGAGGAGAAACGAGACAGGTAACTTATTGCTGGCAAACTCTGAATATTGCCCGACGGGCTCTTCCCTCTCTTGCCCTCTCTCCATAGGAGGCTCCCGTTCATCTCCACGGCTAGATCTGCCTTCTGCACATTGGCTGCCAATGAGTAGTGACCCCCTCCGGGCCGTGCACTTCACCTCCGCTCGCCCCGGCTGCAGGAAGGTCCGCGAGGGACGACGGCTGCCCCCCGCCACCACCTTCGCCCAAGCCTCTCTCCGTCCTCCACACACACGCTTCTCCAGCTCTCTGCCTGCGGGAAGGAGGGGAACGCGAGCCCCGCGAGGAGCCAACCTGCTGCCTTTGAAGCCCCTGGGACAGAAGGGAGCAGCGGCGCAGCTGAGCGCGCAGCCCCCCGCCAGGGACAGCGGAAGCAGTTTCGGGCGCTTAGGGCTGGCAGCGTTGGTTTGTGCAAGGAAAGCTGCCTCCTTTGAGGAGGAGAGACAGTGCAGTTGTGTCTGTCGTGGCTTACGAAGTCCGTGCCGACTTCTTTTTAAAATCGGAATCTTCCCTGTGTTTAAATATCTGCCAGCGCTAAACTTCTCTACTTAAAAAAATATATATCCCATATGTGGATTTCACTAGTGAAATGCACCAAAACCCACCCCGCCCCCTCGCCCTTCTCTTGCACGCACGCACGCACCACGCACAAACACACACACAGAGCAGCTCTATCAAATACTGGTTTGGTACTTAAGATGTTTTCTCCAATACTGAGAGGGAAAAATACATAAGCACAATCAACCCCAGCTAAGTAGCTCAGCAACACTTCCCAAAAGCGAAGGTCCTTGGAGCTGGAAGACTAGGTGGATAAAAATCACCCACCAGGAAACAAAAATTAAAAAAAAAAAACTATTATTAAAAATTATATAATATATATTTATATATCTTAACAGACTCCTTATAACTCGGTTGTGTCAACCACAAAACACGCACACTGCCTCTGCTTTTTCCTCTCAGATTGTGAAGCCAATAATAAAGTGGGCGGATGCGCCCCCTCTTCCCCACCCCAAAAACTGCATGCTGCACGGTGCCTCTCAGACCAGGAACAGGGCTGTGGGTGAGCGAGTGTCTTCCTCCAGTAAGAACAAAGACATCATTTTTATTTACAAAAAAAGGAGAGAAAAGTTTCCACACAAAAGCACTACAATGATAACTCCCTTTGGTAAAAAGTGTAATAAATGTCTTCGTAGGTCTGTCTGTAGGTACTACTTCTCAAGCCACCTGGTACTATGGTACACAAGAAGCTAGTACAGTTATGCTAGCACATCAAGCATACTTCCTTTAATAAAAAAACAAAAAAAAAAATTGACAATTTGTACATTTATTTACAAAAAGAGGAGGGGAACATGTTAAAATTGTGTTGTTTTCTGTGGTGTGTGTGTGTACGGACACGTGTGTGAAAAGCTGGTGCATGGCACTAGGAGAGACTAGTAAACAAGCAGGTACAAAAAACAGTTCCACTGGCACTAGAAAGGACAGACCAATCTGCACTGGCTGAGTCCAGCACGGGAGGGAGGAGAGGGAGGCGAGCAACCGAGGTCAGCTCCGTGAGGTGGCGTCGGGCTGCGAGCGCGCCCGGGGCCCCGCGCGACGTCCTAGCAAACTCGCGGCGCCGTGACACAGGAGGCTCCAAGTTGTGACAGGCACCTCTGGGGTGGGGGGGACACGCACCCAAGCAAGCGGCTCGGAAACGCACCGAATCCGGTCAGGTGGCGGCGAGCCTCCAAGTCCTCTTCCCTCGACGCTCAGGCCTCCGGGGAGTTAAGCCTCAACGCTGCTGGTGCGTACGAGCTAGTCGTGTTCCTCTGGGATCGCTCAGTTCAGAGAAGGGTCCTTCCCTCCGCGGCGCGTGCTGAAGTCGAAGGGCCGGCGGCCAACAGTCCCAGCACGCGCCGGCGGCGAGCCACATTCCTACGGAGAATCCCGCTGGTGACAGGTTGTACCAGCCACCCACTAGTCAAGTGGCCATGTTACGGAGATACACAGTGAGGGGAGAAAGGCATCTTCCTCATTTCCTTGATGCGCGCACACACACACACACATATCCCGCGGTCTTCCCTCGCCCA